ATATACCGGTTGAAAATTATCTAGGGGTCTATTTTAAGGGAAAATTTTGGCCAATTTTTTTTAAAATATATGGAGGGTTTAATTTTTATGCAATAAATTTCTAATTTTTGGTAATTTTTGTTTTGTTTTTGGTTAGTCAGCGTCTTCAGGCACAAGTACAAGATCAATTAAGCAATCATTGTGATTTGTTTCAATTTTTCTTGAATTTTGAACTTCTTCTATAGCAATTTTTATGTGAGAGTTGATATGGATGTTCATTTAATGCGTTTGACTGAAATTGTGGATTGGATTTGATATATGCAGATCTATATCGATTAAGTTGAACTTTATTTTATTGTTGATTTTATTTTGTTGTAGTAGTTGATAAATGGTTTTGTTACGGCAAAATTGGGGTGTAATATTGAATTCGATAAATGAATTGGACCGTGTTTTCTTTAAATTCATTTGTTTTGTGTATTAGCTATTCGATAAATTATGTACACAAATTGAAATTTTTTTGTATTATGTTTTTAAGGTAAACTCCCTCAAATTTTTTTAATATTGATTGTGGGTTCAGATTGATTTAAAATGGTATAACTAAAAAAAAAAAAAAGAAAACAAAATTGCAACTTGAAATATTGTAGGCTATAGGCTATTGAAATATTTGTATTACATGATTAATACTTGATTTTGTGTTGCACAATGTCATCAGATACGGATTTTGTCTATTTTTTAAAAAAGTTGTTGTCGCGATTTGATATAGTGGCTTATTTTTTGAGGTGTTCGATTTTTATATTGCACCATGCCTGGTTACTTCATGATTCATTGGTTCACTGTTAAATTTTCCTAGTTAAAAACAGTGGTAAATGAAGCCACCTCTATATTATACTAGTTGATATACAAGTTCATTGCACGTGAACAGGGGCGGAGCCAGAAAGTCATGTCAGGGTGGACACAAATATTTTAACAAACTAAAATTTTATTTTTACAATCAACAGAAATAGGAAAATAATTTATATTTAATTACATCCTATTTAATACTTAAAAATTCATTAAACACAACATACCAAAATTTGGTAAGTTTAGTATATACAAACGACACCAAATTTTTTTTTTTTTACAAAATATAGGCTAATTAAAATCATTTACAATTAATGTAACACCCCGCATTTTATTTTATATATGTATATAGATATATGGTAAATAATTGTGATAAAAAAAATATGGATATATGTAGTGATGTGTGTTTGAATTTGGTAGATTGGAAAAGTAGAGATTTAAAATGTTAGTGAAAATAATAGTTGAAATTTGATTTTAATAAGTGAAAATATGAAATTTTAAATCCTAGAACTTGTATTAAATAGGTTTGGTGTAGAAATATGTGTTGGAGAGGTTTGAGATGGATTTAGTTGGCTTAGGAATGGATTGGAAATGAAAAAGGACGAAGACAGACTGTGAACGAGAGGTTTGGGATGGATTTAGTTGGCTTAGGAATGGATTGGAAATGGAAAAGGGATGAAGACAGACTGTGAACAGTGCACGTGAACAATGCACTGCTGTAACTTCAAGCTCGATTTAGACCTTGATTCAGTCAATATCTCTCAAAACTCAAAACATGAAAGTTTTAGAGCTCTTTCGTATCATTCCATAGCATCTTGAATCATCTCAATCGGAGCTTGGATGAGAGAGTTATGCTCGATAACGAAATTATGTCGAAATAGTCTAATTAGCTTCGTTTTGCATTTAAATCTCATTTGCATCCTAAATCAAAATATAAGAATAATGAGTACTTTTAGACTTCAAATAAGTATATAAGGCTTTAAGAAACACATTTATCACCTTTTATTTGCAAACATCGCAAAACTTCATTAATAGCCGATTCAAATGGGTAAAATAGAAACTTTAGTGTTTCGGGTGTACGTTGACTTGAGTTTTGAGATAAATCATAAAAATAAATATTTTTAGGTTAAAATAACATTAAAAATGAATTTGGAACGTCGACAAACCTTAGAGTAGTCATATGGATCAAATTGAAGATTCTTAGTGACAAAATCGTAAATTTGGAGAAACCCAAAACAGCCTGTGAACAGTGTTTTTCGGAGCTGCTATATTTTAAACTCATTTTCATCTCATTTGCTCTCATTTCCTTCACTCCCCTTACACCCCCACACCTCTTGAAGCCCTAGAGGGCATTAGAGAAGAAGAAAGAAGGGAAAAACAAAAAATTCAAGGGTGATTCAAGATCAAATATTCTTGTTCTTCACTCCAAAGCTAAGGATTCAAGGTAGGGCTTTTCTCTCATTCACTTACATTGAGGTTAGAGTATTTATATATGTATGTTTTAGCTATCAATGGTATATATATGCTATGAAATAATCATCTCTTAAACTTTTTGCAAGGATTACATGTTTTGAACAAAGTAGGGTTTAATACCCATGAAATCTCATTTCTAGTTTTAAAACCCTAATTTTTGGAGAGTGATATATTTTCTTCCTAAATGCTTTCTTTATTATGGATTTCGAAACCTTAGTGCTTTATGTTAGGTAGAAAAATGATGTTATTGTAATCTTATGTATTTTCTTAGTTGGTTGTGAAATTGTTATATGATATATTTTGGAGATTTTGGATAGATGCTTGTAAATTGAGATAAATGTTGAAATTGTATACTTGGTTGGGTTGTTTATGATGCACATGAGTGAGAGGTTCCTTGTAAGGATGCTCACCCCTTCCCAAGAGGTTCCCAGTAAGGATGCTTGAGAAATAATGTAGTGATTGGTGAGAGGTTCCATGTAAAGATGCTCATCCATTTTCAAGAGATTACCGGTAAGGATGCTTGAGAATCAAAGGTGACCTAAAGGGAGGATGAAAATTACCACAAAGTATGTCACCTATCGAAAGAATTGTTGGGAATTGGTTATGACAATTAATGATTATTATTTGTATGTGGTGCTCGTTTATTCATTTAAGTAATGTTTTTAAATAAACTTGAGATCTTTTTAAATGTCACTGCTTTATTTTCAAATTATGTATCTATGTTATGTTAAAATTGAGACCGACCATTTTAAATATTTTTCTAAACTTTGTATGGGTTTGGGAGAATTTTTCTACAGAGTTTCGTGCTCACCCCCTATCGCTAACATTTTTCAGATTACCCGTTTGAGGAGGAGGACGTAAGGGTCGAGGAGCCCGTTACTTGGGAGACTCCACTGGACGGGAGTGTGGATCCTGAGGTGGACGCATAGAGCGACCTCCTTTCCTTTTGTATTAGATTAGGATATTCTTTTGGAACATTGTGTAGTCTAGCTTCTTTTGTTTATTCTGCTGCGCTTCTTTAATTAATTTTTGAGATGTAATAGCCATGACTTGGGCTTATTCTTTTGGATAATGTTGTAAATATTTGTGGATGACAAATGAAGTCTTGTTTCTTAAGGGATTATATTAGTGCTCTCATGATATGAATGATTTTAGAATGTAATGTCATCCAGGGTGTGTTTTGGGGCGTTACAATTAACTCCGATGAATTTTCATACTTTGAAATCGTTGCATAACAACTTTATTATTTGTTATATACGCCATCATTTTATCACTTTGGTCTTTATATACATAACATATCCAAAATGTGTCAAAAAATTCATATTTATTTGATATAAGTGTACGCTAATTGATGTGCCAAAAACATTGGATGTGAATAATTAAAAATATTGAAGAAATACTGGAAATACATATAGGTAATGTTAAGAAGGAAAATTTGAGGGTGGACATGTGCCAGTACCTATTAAGACAGTCTTTTCATTTCAGCAAATGGTGAGAGAGGAAGAGAAAGGACAGAAGTCTACTAAAAATTAGACCATACGGATTTTTAAGAGAGAATCAATCAGACAAAGGGGTGAGAATATGAAACGATCGAAGTTCCAACTAATATTTGTTGATTGAATACTTAATATAGGTACCTATAGGGTTTAAATGTATATGATTTTGTGTATAAGCAATGCCACAAAACCCAAATATAACTCAAAAAGTTACAACTTAAATGCATATCATTCTCTTGGATGAGTGGGTCCCATCAATTTTTTAAATGGGGCCTAATCATCCCACACTCATCTAGACGATAATATGCTTTTGGGTTTTAACTTTTGGGTTTCATTTAGGTTATGTAGCATTTTTTTTTGTGTCTAGCGTGAATATGGAAAGATGAAATATCTATTTTCAAGTTTTAGCATATGATATATTTAATGCACATTGAACATTTGGTTCTTAGTACATTAAACTTGAATAAATGTATCAAAAGAAAGCTTTCATTTTCCATTCCTACAAGTGATAGCTCAAATCAACCGGTGCACTCACTTTTTACACCAATAAATATACACAGCTGTTATTCAAGTGTGAGTATGAAGAATTAAAGCATTTAAAGATTTATATAATAATACACACATATATATATATATGTGTATATATATATATATATATAAATTAAATAAAAAATTATAGTATAGATATTAGTAATTGTATTAAAATTGTTATATTCAAACAAATTTTTTTTACTGTTTTTGATATTTTTTATTAGTATAGATATCGATATAGATATAAATATAGATAATAAGTTTTTTGACCATCATAACTGATTGACAGAAGGAGAAAATTCCAACTGTACGATTCTAGACCCAATTCATAGTATTGAATTTTGTATTTATTAAGGTTACAGCAATTGGCTGCTGCGAAGTCTAAATTTGCTTTTGATCTGTAAAAGTCTTCCAATTTAATGGCAGTAATTGTCTCTGCCTAATGCTGGGCCCAATAATTTTAGACTTCTTCATATTTATCTTCCGTTTGCCTCCCCGGCTGCGGAGTAAATATCTATTATCGTGTTATTATTAACACATGATATTATAAGTTTTAATAATAAAATACCATATATATATATATATAGTGAATCCTCCACATGCATGCAATGATTAGTTTGCAATGAGTATCGCCGGTTTCTGGTTGTATCCTTAGGAACAGGCTCACCAAAATCTGAACAGAAGAATGATGCAAATGTAGCAGCAAAGTGGGGTGTTTTAGGGTGGCTAACACATGGTGGTTCGACTCCATTAGTCGATGTATTCACTCAATCAAGTAGTGACATGGTGGATCTTCTCATTTCCACAGTTTTTCAATCCCTTCAATCCGAACATAACTATATCCGAATTCGGGTACATATTCAAGCTTCCAAAACATCAAAATAAAATCCCTTTAATCCTCTCATATGTTTGATTATTTCTGTCTTTGTTTTTTCTAATTTTTGTTTATTAACACTCAATTAAAACACGCAGGATGACACATTAAGTGGGGAAGTTTTATCGGTTGATGTTGCAACTGCAACCACAAAAAAATTGGAAAATTTAGTAAAAATTGGTGAGGGTCTATTGAAAAAACCAGTTTCAAAGGTAAATTTGGATACAGGCGTGTATGAGGCCTCGGATCAAATTACCATTACCAATTAGCAGGCTCTAATCAAGTATAACACTACACTCACACCCTTTTCTTTTTCTTTTTCTTTTTCTTTTTTTAATTTTAGGAAATTATTATATTTATGTTGACTAATATTATATTTGTTTTATTTGATTGAACCTTGTAGGTTGGCAGATGTACTGTCCAAGGAGAAGCATATCAGGGAGGCTAGATCACCAATTGGACATTCTCCAAAGTTAGATCAATCGATTATCTTGAATAATTCAAATCCAGCTCAAGAAATTTAGTGGAGACCTGATTATTAACCTCACAATTCATTATTAGTTAGGGAATATGAATAAATCCCGGTTGTGACAATGTAGTAATGTAACTCATTTTCATATTTTACCTAATTTAATAAGTGGTTAGTTGAAATTCACATTATAATTTTCTCAGGCAGGCAGGATGATATTCATTTATAAACTTCTATATATTTGATTAATTAGTTTCTGTGTCATGAAGAAATTGTAGTATTCTAGTTGAGGTTGGCACACGATATCGAATAATCAGAATAGAAGTACAAAGTAAAGGACTGATTGGTTACAAATTAGTTAGATAAACTCCTATGAATCTGAATGTTAGTTAAATTAAATATATTGAATGAAAACCACTAAGTTCTCTTTACTGTACTAACCGATCGTCTTGAAAAAATAAATTATGTTTCTCCTCCTTTGCTTCATCTCAGAACTAGTAAGTCAAAATTACCAAATAAAATAAAAAAGGTATGAAGGCAAGACCCCCAAAAGTTCCAACTAGTTATCTTTTATGAACAATGCTTCTCCCAAGAGATTTTGTAGGGTTTGTTTGATAAGTGGGTCCTATAGATATTAATGATTTATTAAAAATGTGATAGGATCAAAAAAAATTTATCAATCTTCAAGTAGATATATGATGGGATTTAAAGAAATTCATCTATATCTAAGTTTGTTTGGATAAATAGAGATGATGATAGACGTATGTAGTTTATCTTTTATCTTATGTAATTCTCACCCTATAAATAGGGTTGAGGCCCATGTAATCAGTCATCTTCAATAATACATTAAATTATTCTATTTTCGATCCCTCTCTTTTCTAAAATCTCCACATGAGAATGTGCATCAATCTCTCTCATTTTCCGAATTTCTTCATGGTATCGGTGCGAGTCGACCGGACCTAACCTTAAATATGCTTCTGCTTCGCATGAGAATGTGCATCATTTCCAAACAAAAAGCATGAGTCCTTGACGACTCCTTGTCATGTAATTTTCTCTTGGAGGCTATGATGTTGGAGGAACATGTGTCATTACCATTTTGCAATTCGTGGTCGCCTATGAAATATGGATATTTCATCAAGTTCGATGTACTTGTATTTCATATCGTATCGAATATTCAAGAATATATATCGAATACATATTCAATAATTAATAAAATATGTGCATATTTTGCAAATACTTTTAAACATGAAGGAAAACGTACAATTTTTTATTTTATTCTCTACCATGTCATTTCGTGTTCACATACAATATAAAATATCAAAAAAATTCCATCTAATTTTAAAGACATTAGTGTTTTTTAAGTATCATCTACTATTATTACATGTCAAGAAAGTATAAAGAAATGAGTTAGTTAGGATGTAATCTTAAAAATAAATACCTATAAATAAATCAACTAGTTAAATGTAGTATTGATTCCTTTATTTGGTCAAGCTCATTCAATAAGTATATCATAATGAGGCAATATTACATCTTTGTTAAGGTAAAAATTTCTAACTTTGCTTACTGAATTATTGAGAATTATAATTTGTAAGCCTTTAAATAATAGTAAAAGATACAATATGTTATTATAGGCGTATCTTAATTCGTATCCTATTTTTTAAAATTTTATCGTATTATCATATATGTATAATCTTTTATCTGTACTTGCTAGGTGGTGGTTGATTTCTCTTCCCATTGGCATCAGGGTTCTCGTAGCCGCTTTCCATTGATATCCTTCTGAGTCGTTATTATTGATCCTCTCAATGCTACCATTTTCATTTGCCAAGGGAAATGCTTGGCGTTTCTCACTGTCAATTGTGTCAACTGATAGGAGAGAAAAAAAAAAAAAAGAAGGACGAGAAAAGAGAATATGGTGAGGAAAAAAAAAAAACCCGATCTGCTATTCAATGGGAGTTTTATCACAAAAGCTATATCATTAATTGACAAGCAACCACTCTAGTTTTAATTTAATTTGTACTTCAGTGTACCAACTTGAAGGGAGTACTAGAGATATAATAGGATCAGAAATGAAATAGTTCATCAATATTTAAGTATAAATACCATAGAATAAAAAAAAATCCATCAATATCGAGGTATAGAGGAGGATCTAATGAAATTCATTGATATCTAGGTTTATTTGAAAAAATAAAGATGATAATAGACATATATGATTTATCTTTTATCTCATATAATTCTCACTTTATTAATAGGGTATAACCCCATGTAATTAATCACCTTTAATAATATATTAAATATAGCCCATAGGATATTAGGGTCTCTATAGGGGGCAAAGCAACGAATTTTTTTTTAGGGTGGACACATTTGCACGTTTTAATTTTTTTTTTTCAATTGGTCGTAGAAGTTCATAAATTCATATTTTTGAAATTATATTTAATACTTAAAAATTCAGTAAACATAATACTTTAAAAATCGATATGCATAACATAAACAAATAAAAAACAATTAAAACTTCTTATCAAGAATGAGACTAATTAATATCACTTACAATTGATCCTGATATGTTTTATTATTTGAAAGAGTTACAAATCAATCTTATCAACAATATTTCTTTTATATATAAAATAGTTGTAACAATCTTTCATCTATGATCTTACAGTTTGCTGCATAACGAAACACATTTTTACACAATAATGAAATATTCCTACAATTTTAAAAAAATTATAAAATAATCTCAATATGTTCAAAATATATTTGGACATGTCTAAAATGTGTCTAAAAGTTAACAACAATATTAATTACGTCTAATTTGATATTTAATTGATGAAGACCCAATGGTTTGTGACCATTAAATAGATAGTTGAGTTTATTAAATATTAAGACTGACTATTAGACTTAATATCACAATGCATTAGGTCCATAAATTAGGCCTCATTAACATTGTTCGAAAAATTAGTAATTATTTAGGTAGGCTTTGGTAGGGTTTATTCAAATCGATATTACCAAAACATAATAATAAGGTAGGTACAATTAAATATATCTAAATTTTATTTTTAAAAACACGTGTCTAATACGAAGAAGAAGAAGAAGAAGAAAAATTGAGGGACGCGGGGGCACCCTAGCCCAAGGCTGGCTCCACCACTGGGTCCATAGATATAGGCATCATGTGGAAATACACTATTCCTTGTGTCTCGTTTTTCTGTAATTATTCTATCTCCAATCTCTCTCCTATTATGAATTTCTTCTGTGAACATGTCGCAGCATTTAATATAGAAAATTTGATACACAAATTCAGTAAGAGTTGTTTTAACAAATCTTATATTCCGTCAACATAACACTGACAGTCACTTTCACCTAAACAAGCGCTAGCCACAAACTATAATTTATGATACAAAAGCCCCTGGATGTTGATTTGAGGAGCACATACGGACAACCTTTGAAACCCCAACCTTGGGGTTGGCATTTTGGGTGCACAACCACCAAAGTGCAAGGAAGGCCGGTAGGAGCACATACGGATAAGGATTTAATAGTGCATGTATATTTGATATTGTCAAACTCCACAGTGACTGAAATCTCATACACTGCACCATCCTTTTATTTCAGTAGTTTGGTCATGAGTTCAATTGAGTGGTGAACAACCAGAATGAATCCCCATGAAGGAGAGGGAAAAGAAACAGAACAAGAGCACGTTTACACTGCTTCGCCATAAATGTTCATGGTGGAGCAAGCGCGGTTAACGCAGTCAAGTTGTCATATTATAATGCATCTTAAACACAGAGATTCTATTAATTAAATGATTCTTCTCCAATTATTTGATTAAAGCTTTGTTGAAAGATTGGTTTAGTTTGAAAATATATTTCTTTGGTTGGCTTGGAGGAGGCTAACCTGGTCCTCCACATCATTGAACAAAAGCGTCTTATATAATAATCCCACATTGTTGGCCACATTGCCGTTGTCAAACCAATAAATAAAGGTTTTATTTTTTAGGTTTCGGGATCCCTAATTTGAATCGTGTAAAAAATCTCCTACTCCTACTTGATTCGATAGGACTAATTTACAAGTGAGTACACATTGAAAGTTCATGTAGAAGCCTCGATTCTCAGGGATGCATGGTTTGAATGGTTCTTAATTATCATTAAAAAAAAAAAAAGTCAAAACCGAGATGATAAAAATATATATATTACCGTACTTAAGGAGATACGGTACTGAAGAATGCAGCTAGACAGGGATAAATGCCAACTCATGTGACTTAAGGGATCTGGATTAATGTGACTTAAGGGGTCCGGATTCTCTCATGTACCACAGAAGATGTTATTCCCAAAATGAAGTCGTTTTGGATAACAACTATATGATGTACAGCAAAAGAGTTGTGCCCTTGAATAACGTCATATATGTCGTACAACAAAGGAGTTGTGTCTATGACTTAAGTTACAACTCAAATAAGGTCCAATTATGATAAATAATTTTACGATGGATCTTAAATTCTTAGGATTGGTTATAAAAATATTAAGACCAATAAATCCGTCCAAGACAACCTCATCAAATTAAATATAACTTAATTCTCCGAAAAAAGAGTGGAGTACCATAGTCAGACCTTAACAAAATAAAGCGACGCAAGGCCAGCACCAGAAATGCAGGCACAAACACAAAGAGATAACAAATGTTCACTGGGTATAAATCACACTCTCACCCTGTCAAACCGACCAACAAGTCTCAAGAGTTTGATCTTCTGGATGATCAACAATTTGGAACTAAAATGGATATCAAGAGTATCTCTGCAAACTGATCTGAAGGGCATCAATAAGTTTTCTTAAGTCTACAATTTGAACCACAAAATTGTAGGGTTTATTCACCAAATGGGTTGCTCCTAATCAAATGTGTTTAAAATACAATAATTGATTTCTTCTTTTCACTTGATTGAATGTGATGGCTATTACCAAGTATTGAGCTTGCCAATACTGGAGGTGAAAATCTCCATAACGTGATTACTCTTCATATTCGAACTTGTGTTAACATGTTTGGCTGCCTGAGATCTCGTATATATTTAGTTGTAGTGCTAATCCATACAAATGTATATTCTAACTCGAGGAAAACAATTCATGTTATTCAGCCAAAGAGAAAAGAAGATTCATATTATGCATGTTTTTCCTCTAGCAAGGAGAACTTATATATTTTAACATAAGGGAGAAAAAAAAAAAGAAGAAGAAATGCACCTATTAGCAGGCAAAGCCAAAGAGATTCAAGGACATAGGCGACCGATTCATTACCCATCAGCACCTACTGGAGAAAGATAGAGGGGGACGTGGCCCTCTCCACTCAAGAAAAGCTTATGGCACCTGGGAATTGGTATGGACAGCAAAAGCCTGAAGGATGCCTCGGCCTATTGTAACTTACCCCTCCATCAATCCCATTCATATTGTTATGAGAAGTTGAACGGTATTATATTCACATGTTTATAGAGTCAGTGAGTAACTGGTAGCTGTAAGCTATCTGGGGAATTTTTGGGCTTCACCACATAAGGAAGTGTAATTTCTGCTGGTGTAGAGCCTGGAGTCACGTCTTGAAAAGGTACTTCAAAAGTCAGAGATTGATATAAACAGACTTCATCTTCCTTACAGTAGTATACCTGGAAAATGTGGCACTTCCATTGGTTACTAGCACAAGTAAATGATGTGTGCTCAAAATAAAGTTGTGTTTCCTTTGTTCATTCTTACACTACCTCACACAACCATTAAGATCTCATTGCAGAAGACCCCATTGTGAAGGCACAACTTCTTTGTGGGGGCTTCAAGTGTTCCACTAGGCTGTTACAGTCCAGGGCAGTGTCAACTTAGATAATAAACCAAATGCTTGGTGCCAAAACTCATCCCCTCTAATTCACTGCACCTTTGAATCTTGGGTGTCAACTTTCATTTAGGTTGTGTAGGTCTGTACTAAAACAAGAAGGCCACTGAGGCCTGAAAAAGTTAAATAAACAAGGAGATGGTGCCAAGACCATTTGCCCCTGATTTCAAGGATTCACCTTTGGATCTTAAATGTCAACTTTCATTTTTTGTCTGTGTCTGTCTTTGCAAAAACAAGGCCACTGAGGCCTGCAAAGGAGCGTGTAATGAAATAGAATGACGCTAAAGGACTCCAAGGACCATAGTAATGGTCCTTTCTTCTGCCAAAGTAATATTTGTAGGTGAAAGGGGTTCAAAATGAGCAATCTCCACGCTATTATCAGACTTATTACCCTAAAACTAATAGTCCCAAGCTGCTGGAGCTGCACATCGAGGCACCATGATTGACAAATAAAAAAGGTATAGGCTTTAGCAATTTCTGAAAATTTTAGGAAAACGCCCCTCATTGCAAACTAGGATAAATAAGCCAAATGAACTTCCATAAAAAGGCCTACCTTGCAATTAATTCTCCCCATAGAAGCTGAAGGCGAGGATCTTCTAAAATGAAGCACTGCAGATCCGTCTGGGGTAAGATTTCCCTCTAAGGGATCAACAAGTGCTGCATTTTCTGGCTCAACTTCAACACTGAATTTACTGGTTGCTTCCTGCATTTGGAATAGAAGAATAAATTTTCAAAAATAGACTATTGAGAAATTTTTTTTTTTTTTTTGACTATTGAGAAATCTACTATGAATGCAGAAGGCAGAAGTGAGAGGAAAAGAAGGCATAGAATTTTAATTGGAACTAGAAAGGGAGAAAGACCTTTGAGAAATGGTATCCTTCAGGTACCAATATTTTGATACTTAAGTTACCCTCCTCAGATGAACCACCATTAACCTTAACCATCTCTGTGTCTGCTGCAGCTCGTCTTCTGAGGCGCTTCAAAGATCTGGATTTCCTTGAAGGAGGCTGAACTCCTTTCAATTCTAAAGTAAGAAGTTCAGCTTCTTTCTTGTTCATGTCTAGATATCTAATTACACTGTTGTTTGTATCAGCTATGAAAAGTCTTCCTGCAAAATATCAAGGAACTAGGTCTATTGAACCATATACAAGTAATTTGCAAGTTCTATTTAATTTCACTTTCCCTCTCCTTTTGGGCTTAAAACACGTGCACAATGTTGTACTCAATTCCAATGTACCATAAGAATTTCAAAAACTGATTTTTAATAAAGGAGTTCAAAATAGTATGCTCCATGGAAATCAACTACTACAAATTGGTTCTTCATTTTGCATGCTTAATGATATCTCTATAGAATGTCAGGTTATTTTAATTAAGGGTATTAATACAATTTATAGCTTATTATGAGTTAATATAAATATGGTTGATGAGAAGAGATGCGGGTTAACTCTCATTCTCCTTAATCCTATTTTCTAATATCTTCTTTTTCTCTTTTCTACTTTTTCCTCTTCTCCACTCTAAAATCCAAGATCTTTAGATTTCAACTTGGTATCAGAGCAATCTAACGGAAATTCGAAGTCATTGAAACATTCAGGAAGGCATTGGGAGTGTGCTCGTGTCATTGACGTCATCGTTAGAATGATGATGCCATTGTTAAATCCGATCAAAGTCGATATGGTTTGGCTCATTTTTGCCTCCTGAGTATGATAATGATTTTTCTGTAATCTTTTGAAATCATCTAATGTGTTTTTTCAAATTTTGAATTTTTTCGAAATTTACTAGTTGTATTTTGCAATCTACTGTTTGGCAGAGTTTGCGACCATTCCAACTCTCCTAGAGCAACCTGTGGCTGTCAACTAAGCCTCCTAGAACCTATGGTTAAGTTCTATGCACAGCTTGCTTGGTTTTTTTTGGCTCCGCAGGTATTTTTGGACTTGCCAGTGGTCTTTTGGACCTCGGCAAGTGGTTTCTTGACCTCGGCAGATATTTTTTTAGCCTTCGCAGTGATGTTCCAGCCTCAGCAGTGATCCTCCAAGTTCGGTCTTCGTGTTTTTAGAGTTGTGGCTTCTCTGAAAGTTTTTTTGGTGTTGGCAGCTGCTGGTTTGGTTTCTTTTTTGTTGGGTTAGTCCTAAAGTTGCTATTCGGTAGTTGACTAGTGTAAGAAAGGTTCCTTTTTCGCTTATTAGACATGCCTGCAGTCAGTGTAGAACCTACCAGCACTGAGAAAAATGGGTTGAGTCGTATAGGGACTCTTGGATGTAACCTTCTCTCCTAATCAGCACAATAAAATTGGATTTGAGCAACCATTTGGCCTGATCTCAATCATGCCAATTATCGGTGTAGGAAATGGGCTAAATGGATACTTGACAGGAGTAAGTAAGAAACCAAATCTGAACCTAATATTAGCCAATGGATTTCTGAAAACTCGTTGGTAATGACATGGTTACTCATCTCAATGCAACCACACATAAGTTGTGGGTTCCTATTTCTTGAGACAGCCTGTGAAATTTGGTCAACGATGGCTTAGATAGATTCATAGGTTGAACATGATGCCCAAATAGAGGGACATGACTATTGCAGAGTATTACGCAACATCGAGTAGTATGTGGCAAGAGCTGGATTGTTACCCAGGTTGGAAGCAGTGACACCTCGCTGAACGTAGATGTGGCAGTGTCCAATACAGATACATGTGGGATACGGCCGAATACGTCTCCAACACTTCTATAAGTGTTCTAAACAGTGAACAATGATTTTTTGAAGCTGGATATGGCTCGGATTCATAGGGGATACGAGGAATAAGGTGCTAAAAATAAAATAAAAAAGGTCATTGACAGAATAGAGATTAAAGAAGAAGAGGTGAAAAGAAGAGACATCCCGACTTCAACAAACATATTCCAATCTGCTTCAAGCCTTCTTCCTTCTTCTTTCTTCCTTCTTTCCTCCTGCTTCCTTAGTCGCTGCCCCAATTGCTTCTTGAATCGATGTCTTCTTTTCTTTTCTTTTTCTTTTTCTTCTTCTTCTTCTCTCTCGACTGTATAGAGAAACATTGTTCTTTTATTAATATTTTTCTCTTTTTTTAGTATAATTTATTTATTAGTTGTCAAATATATTAACCCACAACCCACTTTGTGTTTGCCTATAACCCAATTTGGCATTAATCTAATGCCCAATTCTAACATATTAGCCCACTATCCATTTTAATATTAGTCTATTACCCAATTTTAAGATATTAATCAACTAATAAATGATTTAAAAGTCTTATTATTAATGTTATTTATATAAAAAATATATAATATTATTTTAATTAGTTGTATCATTGCTGTATTCGTGTCCTATATTTTGAAATTTTATTGTGTCCCCGTGTTTGTATCATATCAGATACGACACCTATGTTTATATCCATGCTTCCTAGTCGCCAAGATTTTCAAGCAAATTGTGCTAGAGATAGTGCTAAGTTTCAAAAGATGATAGAAAATAACGAGTATATCATTTTCTCATAGATGTCAATATGGAGTATAATCAAATCCATATATAGGCTTTGGGTAAAGATCATTTTCCTTCCTTGACGCAAGCATATGCTTATGTACAGCAAGAGAGTAAGAAGAGTGTCATGCTTCGTAATCCTGTTCAAGATCGGTCTACTCTAGCAACTATTCCACAAAGTGAGAACAAATCTTTTTAGCCTTGTGGTGACAATAAAAATGGGAGCATTGAAAAGAATAAGTTAAAATGTGATTATTGTGGAAATGTGAGGCACACTAAAGACAATTGTTAGAAACTACACGGTCGGCCTTCTATGGGGGCGTGGTGGTCATAGGACTGGTCTTGTGTGCTCACATGCCCATATGACTAAGATTTTTCATCCCACCTCCATCGATTCATCTCCATCTACTGGTACTAACAATTCGAGTTTCACTACGGATGAAATGCTAGCTCTCACGTCTGATGGACCGACTTGATACTTCTTCTACACTTACTTCTACTCCTGTTGTATCCAACTTTGCTAACACAAGTATACATGACAGTGCTTTTACTGCATCTTGCTCTCCTAATTCTTGGATTATCGATTCCGAAGCCACTGACCATATAAAGGGTTCATCGAGCCTTTTCTCTCCTTATTCCATATGTTGCGGTAGATATAAAGTTAGGTTAGCAGATAACTCATTGTCATTTGTATATGGGAAAGGTTTTATCCATTGTTCTCCTTCTATGTCTTTGTCTTCAATTCTTCATATCCCTAACTTTTCTACTAACTTACTCTCAGTCAGTAACATTACAAAGTCTCTAAATTGCTCTGTAACATTCTTCTCATCTTATTATATTTTTTTGGGAACAATGAGAATAATTGGCAATGACATAACTTATATTGGTTTATATCTGCTAAAGAACCAACCTTGTCAAACACTTTAGGCCTTTGGTTTTATGGCCGTCCAACAGTTGCATCAATGGCATCGAAGACTTGGTCATCTATAAGTATGAGTATTAGAGAATTTCTTTTCAATTTTGGTGAAAAAATGTAATAAAGATACCTTTCTTAGTGATGTTTATTTATTTGCCAAGCAACAAGAACTTCATATCCTAGTAATAATAATAGTAGCACTGCTCTATTTATAATTGTTCATTCTAATGTGTGGGGACCATCTCGTGTTATTTCTCTTGCTAGATATCCATGGTTTATTCCTTTCATTGACTACTATACTTGGATTACTTGGGTTTATTTGTTGCACATCAAGGATGAAATGGTTACTTGTTTCAAGAATTTCATAAATTAATAAATACTTAGTTTGATGTCAAAATTAAGGTTCTTAGGATCGATAATGGAATTGAGTTCTTCAATGGGGAATATCGTGCTTATATAACAGAACATGAAATTCTTCACCCATTTAGTTATGTGGATACACCTGTGTAGAGAGGAAGAATTGACATCTCCTTAAAGTAGCACACTCCTTGATGTTTATGTTTATTATAGGTGTCCCTCAATCCTGTTGGAAGGGGTGATGTAGGACAACTTTGTAAAATAAAAAATAGGGGTTGTTTAGGAAATACAAATTCGAAAATGTAAAAGATAATGGAATTGATTTTCCATCAAGACAGAGATTCATATGGAACCTTGCATTCTTAGTTTAATTCAATTTGTTAAAATTAGTATTTTATATGTCCTTTTAATATTTTTTAGTGTCGGGAGTATTTTTGTAATTTTCAGAATTTCTGGAACAGGTCATATTTTTTTAGTCAAATTCTAGTGTTGAATATTCTAAAATTTAAAATCCTAGTTCTAGTTAATTTTAGTTTTCTAATTTTTAGGGCCCTAGAGTTTTTGAGTCCTAGAGGTTTTGGAATCCTAATCTTTTGGGATTAGGCGTACTTAGAATTTTATATATAGTTAGTGTCACTTTTGATAAAAGGGAGATAGAAAGAGATATTCAGAATTTTCAACAATTACATATTTCTTGAGTTGTGATGCAATTCTAACCCTAGGTGGAATGCCTACAGAACCCTAGGAGTGATTCCTAGTCACGGGTACTTTTCACAGCTCCTGAACAACCCTAAACAACCCCTATTTTTTATTTTACAAAGTTATCCTACATCAGTTTGGTATCAGAACCGAAAAATTCTATGTTATGCGGCTTAAATATTTATATGAGGATGGAGATACAAGATTTTGATGGAATAAATGATATTACAATATTTTCTAGTTGGCTTACTTCTATTGAGGAATACTTTATCAACTATAATTTTTCGGACGGGCGGAGAATAAGGTTTTGCCAAGATGAAACTTGTATGCATGGCAAAAATTTGGTAGTTTGGTGTTGAAGGGGATTTAAGAAGATTGAGATTGTCGTCAATAAACACATTACAAGAAATGAAAGCTAAGCTTCAACAAAAGTATATGCCTTCAAACTATTGTAGCAAGTTATGCAAACCAGTGTTTTAAAACCCGGCCCAGACCAACGGGTTGACTCGATGAACCGGTTCCTAAACCGAGCCGGTTCACCTATTGGATCGTTCATGCATAAGAACCGGAGTCAACCCGGTGAACCAACAAAAACCCGGTGAAAAC